CCCCCCCCCCCCCCCCCCCCCCCCGGCGTCCCCGCGGCCTTCCCTCGGCCGCTCCCCCCTCCCCGCGGGCGCAGCCCCCCGCCCAGGTCCTGGCAGGGAAAGACCTTTCACCCGCGGCCAATGGCAGCGCGGCGCCTCGGCCCCGCCCCTCGACGCAACGGGTAGGGACCAATAGGGAAGAGAGGGGAGCCGTGCGTCGGGCTCACCTGGACGCTCATTGGCTACGCTGCTCGTGACGTCAAGGGGGCTCGGTTCCGCCTCCCTGCGTCGGGGTGGGGGAGTCTTAAAGGGACAGAGGCGCCGAAAGGGACAGCGGGCGGCTCCTGCGGGACGGGGCCGGTCAGACGGGGGTGGGGACGGGCGGACAGACGGACACCCGAACAGCCGGACAGACACACGCGAACAAGGGGCAGGGCGGCACAGAGACACCCGAACTGACACAAGTGGACGCATTGCAGGTGGACACAGAGACGCCCAGGCAGACGGACACAGACAGACAGACCGAACAGACACAAGCGGACGCGGGACGGGGGGGGGACACTGAGACACCCGAACAGCTGGGCAGACATAAGCAGACACGGGATGGGGGACAGGCAGACACAGAGACACCTGAACAGCCAGATAAAAGGAGATACGGGACAGGGGGACACGGGAACATCAGACATACGGACAGGCAGAGACACAGATGTGGAACAGGTGGACAGATAGGCAGACACGGACATGTGGGCAAACAGGCACTGACACAGGACAGGCGGACACAGGAGGACACACAGGCGGACACGGGACAGGAGGACACAGGAGGAAACACAGGCGGACACAGGACAGGCGGACACAGGACAGGCGGACACAGGACAGGCGGACACAGGAGGACACAGGACAGGTGGACACCCACGGACACACAGAGCACAGGTTGCAGTGCACAGGGTGTGCACACAACACCTGCAGAGCACACACGTGGTGAATAAACCCACAGCACACGCATGCACACGCACACGTTGTATGGGTTGTGGACTCACACAACACCTGCAGGGCACACCCGTGGTGAATACATCTGCAGTGTGCACACACACAACACCTGTAGCACACACAGTCACACAGGCAAAACACAGGTTGCACAGGCTGAGCACATACACACGCAGCACGTGGATGCACGTTGCAGGCATGCACAACAATCGCAGGGCACAACAATCGCAGGGCACACAGGCAGAACATGCAACAGGCGCAGTTTGCACGCGCATGCACACACACTCCTCCAACCACCAGCAAGTGGTGTGCACACAGCCACAGGTGCACAAGTCACACTTACACAAAGTGTTCACACTGAACACACACAAGCACACATGGACACAAAACCACTCACACCCACAGACACGCATGCAGTCACTTGCACAACCACACATGGACACACAACCACACACGGACATGAAGATGGATGCACAGTCATTTACACACACACACAGACACAGAGACACCCATCCACACACACACACAACAGCCACTTGCACAGTCACACACGGACACACAACCACACACAGCCACACACACAGCCATGAAGACGGATGCACAGTCATTTACACACACACCCAGAGACACCCATCCACACACACACACACACACACACACACACACAACAGCCACTTGCACAACCACACACAGACACATGGCCACCCAGGGACACACAGTCTCACCCACCCACAACAGCCACTTGCACAATCATACACGGACACACAACCACGCACAGGCAGACCCACAGACACGAAGATGGATGCGCAGTCACACATGAACCCAGAGACACCCATCCACACACAGCCACAACAGCCTCTTGCACAGTCATACACAGGCACACAACAGCACACGGATACACACAGAGCCACACATGGTCGCATACGTGAACACAGACATGTGGAGACACAAGCACATAGACAGACACGCAGACAGACGCACACGAACACACGCAGACACAAACCTGAGCACACGGACATGCACATGGGCACACACAACCACACACACAGACAAACACAATCATACACACACACACCCACAACCACACACAACCACACATAAGCACAGATACATACTCACAGACACACGCTTGGACACACACACAGACACACATGAACACACACAGATATACATGCACACAGACACACAAACACACACAGACACACAACCACCCACGGACACCTGGACACACAACCACACATGGACACACACACAGCCACACACAGACACATGGACACACAACCACACAGACACAACCACCCACAGACACACAACCACCCACGGACACCTGGACACACAACCACCCACGGACACACACACAACCGCACACAGACACGTGGACACACGCACAACCACATATGGACACACGGACACACAATCACACAGACACAACCACACACAGGCACACACATGGACACACACACGGACACAACCACACACAGACACACAGGGACACACACACGGACACAACCACACACAGACACACACACGAACACACACACACGGACACAACCACACACAGACACACGGACACACACACGGACACATACACACACCCCCTCCCTCCCACCCCCACCCGCGTCACCCCGACCCCAGCCCACCCCATGTGAGCAGGGAGGGGTGTGTGTGTGTGGGGGGGGGATTCCGGAGCTGTGGGATGCCCCATGGATTTTGTAGGGGGGTCTCCAGGGGGGGGATGAGGGCGTTACCGGCGCTGGGCTCCGCTGTCCCCGTGGCGGTGTGCGCGGCCGCACAAAATGGAGGCGGCGGCGATGGGCCCACGGGACCCCCCCGCGGCGGGGATGGGGGGATG